GTGAAACCCTGTCATATGAGACCCTGTCCTCTGGGACCCTGTCCTCAAAGACCCTGTCATATGAAACCCTGTCATATGAAACCCTGTCCTCTGAGACCCTGTCCTCTGAGACCCTGTCCTCTAAGACCCTGTCCTCTAAGACCCTGTCCTGTGAAACCCTGTCATATGAGACCCTGTCCTCTGGGACCCTGTCCTCAAAGACCCTGTCATATGAAACCCTGTCATATGAAACCCTGTCCTCTAAGACCCTGTCCTCTGAGACCCTGTCCTCTGAGACCCTGTCATATGAGACCCTGTCCTCTGAGACCCTGTCATATGAAACCCTGTCCTATGAGACCCTGTCCTCTGAGACCCTGTCGTATGAAACCCTGTCCTCTGAGACCTTCTGGGACCCTGTCATATGAGACCCTGTCATATGAAGCCCTGTCCTCTGCAACCCTGTCCTCTAAGACCCTGTCCTCTGAGACCCTGTCCTCTGAGACCCTGTCCTCTAAGACCCTGTCCTCTGAGACCCTGTCCTATGAGACCCTGTCCTCTGAGACCCTGTCCTCTGGGACCCTGTCATATGAAACCCTGTCCTCTGAGACCCTGTCCTCTAAGACCCTGTCCTCTGAGACCCTGTCCTATGAGACCCTGTCCTCTGAGACCCTGTCCTCTGGGACCCTGTCATATGAAACCCTGTCCTCTGGGACCCTGTCCTCTGGGACCCTGTCCTATGAGACCTTGTCCTCTGAGACCCTGTCCTCTGAGACCCTGTCATATGAGACCCTGTCATATGAAACCCTGTCACATGAAACCCTGTCCTCTGGGACCCTGTCCTATGAGACCTTGTCCTCTGAGACCTTGTCCTATGAGACCCTGTCCTATGAGACCCTGTCCTCTGGGACCCTGTCCTATGAGACCCTGTCCTCTGATCGTCAGTAGACCTGTCATGATTTGTGTGTCTTTGTGTTTCCACAGAAACCAGCCAACATCCTGGTGATGGGAGAAGGTCCTGAGCGAGGAAGAGTCAAAATTGGTAAAATTCTCCTCAGTCCTGATTTGTGAGTCCGTGCTGTTAGAGGAATGTCTCTTCATCATGGAAGAGGTTGAAACGTGTGGACTTGTCTGAGTGGGGGGGTCTGCAGCTGTTAATCCGTCCTGCAGGTGGTCACAGATCTCAGATCAGTGTTACGTAACCAGCTGCTCAGGAGGGAGGATCACTGCCAGGCTGCTGCTTATTCTAAACTCTGTCAGCACAGTGATAGTTCTGAGGTCAGCTCTACCACCGCTGGGTCGACTGCAGGAACACGTGTCCACTCTGTGCGTTAAATACTTTGGACAAGTTATTAACCAACCATGTGTTAACTGCTGAACTTAGAACAGCCTCACTTTGAGGAAATAAAAGTGGAATTCTGACAGGATGATGTGCTAATGCCTTGCTGCTGGATTAAACCAGCTCCAAGCTCCTCAGGTTTGTAGCAGTTCCCACAAATTCTGCTTTATAAGCCCTTTATATCTGAGTATGACCACCGTGAGAGCAGGAGATGGACCCACAGATTGTAATGAGGATGTTGCTCGGTCTGTTGTAGTGAAGGAGGAACTGAACCAAAAGGCAAAGCTCCAAATGCACAAGATTTACATCCTGATCCTGGAGATCCTGGAGAAAATAAATACATGAAGTGAAACACATAAATCCTTTTACTGATTATTTACAGTTTATTATAAAGTTAGATTAGCTTTTTAATGGTGCCGTTAATGAATTTGTTACACATTTATTGTGAATCTCTCTTTTGTTGTGTGTTTACTTGAAAACAGAGCTGTGATTTCAGGCTTTTATCAGAAATAAAACGACTCCTTGCCTTTTTGATTTCTCATTTAAACTTCAGCAGATGTTAGTCGTGACTTCTGTTTCTTTGTTGATTAGTGTTTAAATAATGTTCCTGAAACAAAGTGTGGTTCTTTGTTAACCACTCTGTTTCTCTCCTCACCTTGGACAGCTGACATGGGCTTTGCCAGACTCTTCAACTCTCCCCTGAAGCCGCTGGCGGACCTGGACCCTGTGGTGGTGACCTTCTGGTACAGGGCTCCTGAGCTGCTGCTGGGGGCCCGGCACTACACCAAAGCTATCGGTGAGTCTGACACATCATCACAGGCCTCACGTCTGAAACAGGAGTATGGTGCAGTTTGTAAAGTTACACAGTCAAAAATTACCACCAATATTTTTGTTTTATTTAGACTTTTATAAGAAAAAAAGAACAGATTTATTTTTCACCATATGATTCATACATTTATAAATGTCATAGTTTATAAACTAAATATTTAACTTACAAACTAAATAATTCATGTTTTTAGAAAGATGTTCGGCCCACATGCAGAACACTCTCAGGAAAGTTCAAACAGTTTATTTACAAATAAAAAGCAAACAAATTGAGAATCTCTTTCTGGGGCTGGAGACCCGGGGGAAGGGAATTACGTGTGAGAGGTCCCGGGTTCAAATCCCGGACGAGCCCCCATATGTTACGACCTGGCTCTATAGCCATAACGTAATTGAGGAACACGACACAAAGGAGCCACTTTAAAAACCTTAAAGGCATTTATTAAAGTTTTGTCTAGGAGTTAGTGAGTCTGTTGGTCCTGTTTGGTGCTCCGTAGCTCACGGATGCACTGGACGTTTCTCACCCAGCTGGACCATCTGAAGTCCGTAGTCCAGATTTAGTTCCACCTTATGCAATCAAGTTTGTGGTCGGATTTCCCTTGACCACCGTCGTGTTCCTCTTGCGCCTCCGCGTCCACGTTTCAATGTCTTTTCTTCTGCACCGAAAAACCGTCTCGGCATCCACACACCAACTTGTCGTGCTGGCGTCCAAGGGCGAACTCACACCTGTGGCGAATCAGCTCTTCACCACACCGCAGCAGCAACGATGTGCGTCTCTCCTCTCCCGGCGGCAGAGAGGGAGCAGCAGGACCGGGCACGAGCGCCAAGCGAAGTGAACGTGGAAGTCAACTTCAGCGTGAATGTGCATCGACGTCAGCATCAATGACGACGAGGTGTAGGACGACGAGGTGTATGAGGTGTCCTCAGCACTCCAGGTGCGTGCTTAAGCAGTGCACAGGCCACACCCCCTAAGGATGACCTGTGAGGAACTCAATTAAGCAAACAGGCGGCAGCTGGCTGCAATAATCTAAGCAGCAGGGCCGTCACAATGAGGAACCAAAAAACCTCTCTTACTTGGGTTGTGAGGGAGCGTCCACCAGTGGGGGGTGGTTGAGTGAAGGACAAGTCAGTGCAGCCAGATAGTCTGAGCGATGGAGGGCGGACAGATTACCGTGCGGACCGGGAACAAAGACCTTGAAGCGGTCAGTCTCAGAACTGCTCCAGGAGATCTTGGGTTCTCGAGGAGGCTCAGGGAAACTCTGGTAGATGAACCAGGAGGTGGTGGAGGAAGCCTTGGAAGGAGATCGCAGGAGTAAATATAAAGTTCCACAGGGGAGAAAAAACTTCTCATAAATTAACACAGAGAACAAACTGTGGGAGCATGAGATACCATTACAGGCAAACACTCAGGCACTGGAGAACTGACAGCCAACTCCTTTCATCCCCTGGATGATTGCAGGAGAGGATCTGCAGGTGTGAGTGATAATCAGTGGATCCGCCCTCCAGTGACAGCAGCTCCAGACTATCTGCACAAACAAACTGTACACAACAAAAACACAACCCAAAACCAGGTTTCTAACAATTTAGTTAACAAGCTAAATATTTAACTTGTGACTTAAATATTTAGATAGCTATCTAAATATTTAAGTTGAAACCTAAATATTTAGGTATGTTACTTTGTATATTTTGTAGCTTTGTTTGTGGGTTTGCAAGAAGGTCCCTGGTCAGAGCTAATGCTGTTTGGGGGGG